TTTACTTAGGGAATTATCAAAATACATTAAATATACTTGTATAATAATGTACTTGCCAGTCTGGCAGGTTCTATGCTGCCAACAGTCACACACATCACTTCAGATACCATGCTGTCTGCGTCTAACCACGGAGTCGCACAAAATGCACAAATCATCTATAACGTAAATTACGTTATGGATGATTTGTGCATTTTGTAACTTGTTATAAATAGAGCATTTCTCAGTACTGTGTTCTAACTCAGCATTACTAATGTTGAATTATAACACAGTATTGAGAAATGCTCTATTTATGACAAGTTACCTACTCAAAATTATCTACTCAAATATGCATATTAATTTTATTGGTCGGTACTATCACAGACTTAAATCTAATTCCGTGGTACTATCAAAACTTCTCAAAATGGACATAATCTCCAATTAGCAAAAAACAACACGGACGTGTGCAGAAATCAGGTAAAGAAAACATCGTCACACGGCGACGAGTATGCGTACAGCCGTACACTAAACTAATTTAAATGTGTTAACATGGAAAATAATATTGTTGTATACCCCGCAATTTTTAAAATTACACCCTTTTTGTTTCATTTCACAATTCTAACTTATTTCTAAAATTAACACACTTAGAGAAATTAATTTAGTTTCATTATATGTCCATATCTTATCTATATATTATAAGTATTGTACTTAGAGAAATTAATTTTGTGTGTGCGCACGCATGTAATTTTGTTTACAATATAATTTGTCTATGTCCATATATATTTGTACAAAATAATGTGTATCTATGTATCTATCTATTTATATCTAGTTATTATCTATGGTATGTATATTGTGTATTGAACCTTGAATCAAATACTGGTTATCGATGTATGTTATATAAAAATTGACATATTGTTATCTAAATCAAGGGTTTGGATTTATTCCGGGTACAAACATAACGCACGTCGATTATTCTACGTAGAACCACGGAATTAGATTAGATTATCCAAGTCCGTGGTAGAACGAACGTATTGAAGATATCCAGGTTAATTATAATTGGTAAACTACGTATAAACGTACATTTTCCTTAAAACTCGTTATAAAAAATGAAGTTTATATTCAGTTAGCAAGTCTTCTAAATCAATGTTATACACATGTACGTTCTGAAAAAGTAGTTAGTCATAAGCGCTAAATTTCTATCTGTATAGCGGTATACCGCCAATTAATTTAGTTTCTGAACCCTTCCTCTTATTGTATATAGTATGCTTACCTGTTGAGTTTACTGATATATGGTTTAAAATAGTCATTTTATGGTTGTAAATCCCAAACATATTGAGTATCAAGTCTACACTATCTCACGTGTCGTGCATATGTATGTTCCCTTATGCTGTTACACCATTCTAAATGGCAACTAAAATGGTTATTTTGAACTTAAAAATATTTATGCAGGATGACTATTCAATCTAATATTTGTTGGAAATTACTTCTTAATACATGTATGTACCACGTGTCTCATCACCCAACTGTTACAAATCATGATATTTGATAATGGATAGATACAAAGAATTTCAATCTAATAATGGGACACATTGGAAATCGGAAGTATTTATTTTTCTTCTTCATTCATATGTCTTTTTGAATTCCCAGTATGTTTTTAGCCTCAAAAATGTATGTTTTCATATTATAATTCATATTTTGTTGTTGATTTCTAATGACATTGAACTTAATCCGGGGCCTCTATGCAGTCTTGATATTGCTCACCTAAATGTTAGATCATTACGAAATAAAATTGATACTATAGAAGCTGAATTAAATAATAATGATATAATATGTCTAACAGAAACTCATCTTTCTCCTGAAGTATTAGATTCTGATATCACCATAGATTCCTACTCACATGACAGACTAGACCGAAGATCAGGCCCTGGTGGTGGAGTACTAATTTATCACAAGAACACTATTTTTACTAAAAGACGAACAGACTTGGAACATAATGATGTAGAATTAATTTGGGTTGAAGTATGTATTGGGTCTCGTAAATTCTTGTTATGTTGTATTTATAGACCAGAAATGCCTGTAACTTATTGGGAAACACTAGACTTTGTATTTGAGAGAGCTATAAATACTAATCTAAATATAGTCATAACAGGTGATATTAATGTAAACATGATTAACTTACAACCTTATAGTCATCTTGGTAGACTAATGACCAAATATAATCTTGTAAACTATGTTGATGAACCTACACGCATAACTCAAACATCTTCCACCTCATTAGATATCGTTTTCTCAAATAGTTTAAACTTAATTAAAAATGTATCTGTTTCTCCACCCATATGTAGTGACCACTCTCTTATTCAATTCAGTATCTCATTTGATGTCTTTAAACAAAAATCTTATCAGAAAAAAATATTACTCTATCGGGAAGCAGATTATGAAAAAATGAATAGGAACATAAATATGATTGATTGGGTTGCAATCTCTGAAAATCAAGATAGTAATGATTTTAATAATACTCTTTGTAATGCTATTAATCAACAAATATCCGAATGTATTCCTAGTATAAATGTTACAGTAAGGCCTAGAGATAAAAAGTGGATGACAAATGAAATTAGATTTAATATTAGACAAAGAAATATGGCACATAGAAAAGCAAAGTTTAGTAACTTACCTTATCATTGGAAAAACTACAGACATATCAGGAATGAAGTCATTAGTAAAATAAGAGAGGCCAAGAACAATTATATTGAAAATATGCAAAAATCATTAGCTAATACAAATATTTCTCCAGGTAGCTGGTGGAAAATTGCAAAAACTGTTTTAAATGCAAATAATAGAAGAAACTGTATTCCCCCTCTTAAATGTGATGAATGTTTCATTCAACATCCATTTGATAAAGCTGAATATCTTAATAAGTATTTTACCTCTATATCTACCACTTCTGAGAATCTTGAACCTATTCCTGATATTGAATTTAACTGTCCCCACTCTATGGAAAACATAACAATAACACATCNAGGTAGCTTACATTGAAGGGTTTTGTGATTTAATTGTCAGGAAAAGACGGAAATGGTAGGGTTTATTGAAGATGTTTTCTTTCCATGAACATGGCACTTCTGTCATTGTTCTTGACGCGGGTATTTGACTTTCACCCCTTTTGTAAGCTCACCTGGTCCGAAGGACCATGGTGAACTTATGCCATACCGTTGCGTCCGTCGGCCGTCCGTCAACAATTTCTTTAAACGACGTCTTCTTTTTAACCACTAATTGGAATTTAACTAAATTTGACTGGAAGCATCCCAGGTTGGACGGGAAAATTGTACAAATGGTGGAGCTGACCCCCCAGGGGGCTGAGGGACGGGGCCAGAAGTGGGCAATTTGAATAGATTGCTATAAACGACTTCTTCTGTAGAACTATGCCATGGATATCGATCATATTTGGTCGGAAACATTCATGGGAGGCAGGGATTCAAAACTGTACAAATTGTGGGTCTGACTTCCCATAACATCACCTGAGGGGTGGGGCAAAAAAAGTTTATTGACTGGAAATGGTTGAGATCCCCACCATATAACCACATATACAATTGCTGAGTATAAAGAGAAGAATGCACATTTGCTTCCAGGGTGGCCCTAGGGTCTGGCCCCAACCTTGGAAACATAGTCCTTGGGTCATAACTTTAAAACGGCTGAGATCCCCAGCCAAAAACTATATATACAAATACTGGGCATAAAGAGACGAATGCAGTCACGATACTAGAATATACCCTGGGGTCTGACCGAATCCCTAGAGACCTAGTTTCTTAGTCACAGCTTGGAAACCGTCGAGATCCCCACCCTATTACCATATAGACAATTAATGAGTATAAAGAGATGAATGCACACATGCTGCCAGGATGGCCTTAGGGACTGCCCCATCCTTGGAGACTTAACCCCTGGGTCATAACTTCGAAATGGTTCAGGTCCCCACCCCAAAACTATATATACAATTGTTGGGCATCAGTGACATCGATGGTTGAGTTAGGGAATATCTCGCAAAACAGAGCCTAGAAAACCCTCCAATTAGTTCGCTCATTAAAAACTTGGAAGATACTGCGGGGCATATCCTGAGATGGCCAGTCTAGAAAGTAAGGGTGCATCGGATGTATTTCCTGTCGGAGGTAGTATCCAGATGCGTCGTCCGCTACCGGTATTGTTCTAGAAATTTTGAGGAGTTTAACGAGACAATTCAATAGCTCTATTTCAAAACATGGTTATCAAAGAAACAGCAGCTTTCTGTATTGATGAGTGTTAGATGTGGGGCTATCTCGCTTGGCAGTTGAGGTATCGGGAAAGGCTACCCAGCTAAAAAGTGGGTACTGCCCGGATTCTCCACCAACCATAACAACGATTTTTATGGCATTGTTATACAATTTGAAAAGTAAAAGTTCTGGATAATGTTGAATGTGGTCCAAATACATTTCTTTTACAATAACTTTCTCTAGGTCGGTGGGTGATTTCCAGAATATCCAAAATCACACCCGTACAGTCCGAGGCCTAGGTCCCAACTGATGTTTCAAAGCATCACCATGTCGTAAAGCACATTAACAAATAAATGAACAGTAATTAGCTGGAGTGACAGCTGTCATTCATAGCAGTCGTCCTTTGATATTGGAGGCCGTACCCGATCATGTAGGCCAATTGAGCTGTCCTTTGTCTGAGACTGAATACATTGTCCGCCCTCGTAAGACCAGTTCATTCTGTTATACAATATAATTAAGTTGAAAGGTATATGATTTATAATGGACATAGTTAAGGCATAAGATAATTTGACAACAATGATTCAAACGAATTGTGTGTGCCAACTTCAAAGGAAAAGCTTCGTTACAAAAAAAACCAGATTAAATTAAAGTTCGAATTCAGCACTTTTTTTCATACAAATGTTTGTGATACATCTAATACAATGTTGTGATACTATAGAACTCAATATATGCAAATATTACAATGATGATATAACAATTTACTAGAAATCTATGTTTACTTTTTAGATCGTAAGGACGACGAGGAAAATCCGCCTGGATCTTCCGACTCTAAACACAAGAGAAGTCACAAATATTTTCCAGACATGGTGCGTAAGAAAAAGAAAACGGAAGGGCTGAAATTAGGCGGTCCACCAGAGAATCTCCTTCCGGAAATCACCTCGGCACTTCCTGCTGAGGGTGCATGCGGCAGTGACGTTAATATTCAATCAGCTCCTATAGGTATGAAACGTAGGGTTTGAAAGGAACCTGAACCTGAATTTTTATTGTGTTCTTATATAATGATCTGTATTCACATTTTAAAAACGAATTGCTGTCCTAGGGAGTAAACGACAAACCCGATGGTATTTGTAACAGGGTATGGACAAGTGTACGACCAGACCGGGGTTCGAACCCGGGACCCTCCAAATTCTAAACGGACGCTTTATCAATTGTGCTACCTGATCGCCGACGATCGACCCTGTCCAGTACCGTTACATTCCTCCCTCCTTTTCTCCAAGTCTCCGTCTCTAAAGACACAAATATTTACATATCCCCTTGCCAAACGTACACTAAATGTTTGAAACAAAGGTAGGCAACAGGCACCACTGTAACAGGAGATGGAAAAATGCACGGCCAGACCAGTGTTCCACCCCGGGACCCTCGGAATTCTAGACGCTCTAACAGTTCAGTTGCCAATATGGAAGGCCAAATGCAAAGAATATACTTAATTAAAAAGTAAATTAAGGACACTTGGTATTTAGATCACCTCGTGTGGCAAAATATTCTCATACTTTCACTGGTGCTTGGCAATATGGTTGTTTTACTATACTAATGTTACATATCTAGTATTCAACAGGTTTACATATTCTATATCTTGTACTAGGGTAATGAATATAAATTGGATGGATCATAAGGACATTATTTTATTATACAGATGGGGATGGCGATTCAACAGATTCAGAGTGTTCAATGGACCGGCCGACTCTCCTGGAACAATTAAAGACCATACTTGATAGCTACCAAGACGCTCAAATCATTCGGGTAATAGTCTCTCTTATTTGCTCAGCACACCTGACATAGAAGGCATGTGATTAGCTATTTGAATGCTTTCAAATTTGCGATTTCAGATAATCATCTGGTCATTTTCACTGCTACGCTGCCGAGCGATTCATTTGATGTACATCGAAGGATCAAGCTAGCTCTATTGTATCATTTAAAAGGTGGCAAGAACAGAGCCATCGATTTCGTCATAACGTATTCCAGGGTTGTTAAAAAACATAAGAGAGCGGTTCCCTTTGAATAACAAGGATGATCTGACTGGCAATTATCCTTTAGCCAAACGTTTACCATGGCTATATCTGTTCGTCGTCCGTCCACATTTCTATTTAATGCTAATTGGTCTGGAGTATCCTTAAGCCAGGGCAAAACTCTAACACGTATAGTGTCGTATTGTAACTAAGGGCGATTACTCTTACAAGAACATATATATTGTTAATAAGGATAGTTATCCTTACATGTACAAGTACAATGTATATTGTTACTAAGGATAGTTAGCCTTACATGTACATGTACAATGTATATCGCAAGTAAGGAATTAAATCTTACATGTACAAGGACCCTGATATTGTAAGTAAGAGAGGTTACTCTTGTAAGTAACATGTTAATCGGACAAAGCTCGGCCAGTTCCGTAGAATAACCTCAGAGGTAAGTAGAAGACATAATTTTGATCACATGACATAAACAAAGATGGCAGCTTACTGCTGTGCATCCGGGGAGACGGATAATACATTGTTTAATGGCACTAGTGGAAAGAAGGCCTTTGATAATGACATGCTTTTGTGTCTTTAGATTCGATGTCATCGTTGCCTCTCTAAACTTTTATCTTCTTCAAACATGTTTCCTCGTGTATTTGTTTACACATTTAAAACATTAGATTTTTCATTTTTTTTGAGCTACCGTATTATGAAAGAAAATCAAATTTTTAATAAGCTTATTGTTAAATACCCGCCCCCCCCCCCTTTTTTTTTTTTATCTAAGTGAGAAATGTTTGATGAAAAGTTTAATTCTCGGATTTTGCAAAGCCTTCTTCATTTGAAATCTTCCGATTCACTGCTTCAATCGAGCAGTATCCATATAATTATCTCCGATACTTTTTTCGAGCATGCGACGGAAAAGGGCGAAGCGATTTGATTGGTACTGCTCTTCTAGAAGTATTATGTTAATTATAGCTAAGGGAGGTTACTCTAACAAGTATAAAGACCGAAGTCAGCAGCAAAATATTATTGCTTTCTATTACAGGAACTAGTACAAAACGCAGATGACGCCAATGCCTCGGAGATGAAGATTGTTTATGTGAATGATGACGCCGAGACATCACAAGGGAAAAGCTGTTATTCGGATTATTTCAGGGTAAGTTAGGCAGAAATGTATTTCATTTCACGATGAAAACAGTAAAGATGCTACATAATATATCAAAACAATTAAATAGTTCTTTAAGATTATCCTAAGGTATCTTCATATGTGTACGCCAAAAAGTTAGCTCAACTCTCATCAGTTTTATTTAAACACAACAACAAATGTTATTCAAATTTGTTAATTGAATTTTTTCTTTAAATTTACTATCAACTAGTTCGCTTCATTCTTATAACTTACTCCCGTTACGGTACTTCCAGGCGCCTGCGCTGTGTGTTTATAACAACGGGATGTTTAGTAAACAGGACTGGAAATACATCAAAAGCATCTATAACAGTGGCAAGCGAGAAGACACTCTCAAAGTGGGCAGATTTGGTCTGGGATTCAAGTCGGTCTTCCATATCACAGGTAGGTGGTTGATGAGTGATCTTTACTATTTTCCATGCAAGCTTGCTTATACAATCGCGTTTGTTTGTGCGAGTGTGTAGTTTATAACTGATACTAAGACATATTGGTACTTTGTAAATGATATTTACGGTGTATCTATACCTTTGTAAATAAATCATATAAGGATTTTAAACAAATCTGCGGTAGTCTTTAACTTTTCCAATCGTACAGTAGTAAGCTTCGTTCCAAATTGAAGGCACCCTTTCGTTCTCTTGTTATGAGATCTTCCTTTTTCAAGAAAGGTGAAAGACGACATGAATTTATAATTGTAAATTATTTCGTTAATTTGTATGGTGTATATTTATGGATGGGAGCGGAGGTAGAGGGTGGGGGTTTTAGGGGGTAGTTTATTTATTTATTTATTTATTTTTTTTGGGGGGGGGGGGGGGGGGTCAAGGAAATAATCATTCCTGAGGATGTAGATCTGTATTGCTTTATTGAGGTATGGTGATAAGATTTTCAAGCACACTGTAGGAATTGGTATGGGAACAAAATGTTCCCCTCTTCTGGTCAGCTTGTTTTTGTTTTCATATGAGGCTAAATTTTGTAAGGGCTGGTTAGGTCTGTCTACAAATATCTTTCCAAGCCATTCAGTTTCATTGTCAGGTTATGGACGACTTGCTGTTTAAGATAGGATTTAGTAAACCACGGCGATTGTATATACCGATCTGAACTTGAAATTAAGGACACTTTAAACATTTACGACACTTTACTGACATAACCAGTTGGGACAGAATAATACTAAGCTCTATGCTAAACTTGTCGATTTCGAATTTCCGGTCATGACATTTTTCTCTTTCTGGTCAATGCCCGCTTCCCCTAAATTGACATTTTCATATTCTTCTGTTGCATTTTGGAAATGTCAGCAGTTGTATTACTATCTCAGGATTCTATAAAATATTTTTTATCCCACAATCAGGATATTCATTCGTTGGCCGTCCTGAAACAGATCTGTTCAACGCTTTTCCTTCATAAAGTACCTTCTCAAATTTCCTATGACATTTCTCCTTGAACTGTAGTTTAAAAATCATCTTGCAATATACTTCGACCTCTAGGTCAATTGTCAAATAAATGCATGATTTTCAGTAACATATAGTCATGGCAATAATTTTAGAACCGTTAAAGACTAATTGATTAATTTTGCAATAGGACTACATCACCCTTAGAAATGTGCAGTGTACTGTCATTAGCTAGGTCACTGTGACATTGACGTCATAACTTTTCAATTGCATTAATTCATATATTTATTTTATGATTTAGTAGTCGGCTTACAATTTTTTAAGAAAATTGAAATTTCACGGTTATTTTACCTTATCTCCATAATTGTATTTTGCAAGAGAAGGGGAAAAATAATCGCTAATAAGGGGAGACATGTATTCTTTCACAATACGAATATCCAGATTCTTATTTGGTTTACATGCAACTTGAACGATTTTCATAATTTTACAATTAGAATATTTATTTCAATTTAACATGTTTACATTTCATATACTGTATTTGGTATCAGACAAGTGTATAATTACAAAAACGTATTGCTTTGAGCACATGTTTGTCAACAATAGTGTTTATCTAACGTCAAACAATGATTTAAAAAAAAGTGATTTTGGACCAAGAAGGAATTCTGTTAATTATAGTTTTGAAAAGTAGTATTTGTATGCTTTTATTACAGATAATCCAGTGATTATTAGTAATGACCGAGCAATGATCATCGATCCTTTCCGGACACAAAGAGGACATGGTAACGATTGCCAGGTTTTGACCTTTAAGAAACTTCGGAAATCTTTAAAACCACATTACAAACAGGCTATTGAAGCGATTAAGTCTGTTTATGGACATTTCGGATTTACAAACAAATCTCTGGAGGACACTTACTCTGGGAGTATCTTTTGGTTTTCTTTGCGCCGCTTTCCCTCAGAGTTGTCGACCAGAGTCTTTGACCATAGTGATGTCACAGAGCTGATCGACAGTTTCAAGAAAGAGGCCGCTTCTTTGCCACTTTTTCTTAAGAACATCGGTCTGGTTTCGTTTTCTGACCAGGAAAAAGAATCCGCATCATTCTACGTAAAATGCGACGTGTTAGAAAAAGAGGAAAAGAAATCATTTAACGAGAAATTGAAGGCATGTAACGGTGTAAGTCCCAATGACAGTATAAAAGCAATATATCGTGTCGACATTTCTCTTAAGGACGGTCAACATGTAAATGAACAACGCTGGGTTGTTTGTAATTATATAAAAGGCCGAAGCGATCTTTCCGTAGAGCTCAGAGAATTGGCCGAGGACAAACAACTGTCGTATAGTCCTTTCGTAGGACTTGCAACACCACTCGACTACACTACGGATATACAATTTCATGGACAAGTGTTTTGTTTTCTTCCCCTTCCAAATACGAGTGAAATTCAAACGGGGCTGCCTCTGCATGTCAATGGGTTTTTTGCCCTCAGTCAAGACAGACATCACGTAAAATGGACACCAGATGACCAAACTGAACGAATGGACCCGCCTCAGAAATGGAACCGCTTACTATGTGAAGAAGTACTTGTAGATGTGTTCGTCGATACGGTGGAGTACGTCAAGAGCCTCACTGTTACAGACAATTGTACGGAATGCGATACCAACATTGTATATAGCATACTTCCGTCACAGAAAAACATTCGACCAAATTGGGATGCGGTTTTTAATCCCTTGTGCAGACGCCTCAGGGACAAGACCATTTTTTATACCAATAATGGCGACAAATGGATAAAAGCAGAAGACGCAATCTTTTCAATTTTACAATGTATAAAAGACGAACTTGAACCAAGCACCATCCGACAGACAGAACAGTGTATATTTGATCTTTTACTCAAGTACCAACGTAATGTTGTGAAGGTTCCGTCTCACGTGGCGGAAATGTTTCCTGATGTGCCTAGAATCACACCAAAGTATTTGAGAAATGTTCTAAGAGAAAGTAATATCTACGGTAGACTTCCAGTCAAACAACAAATTTTTCTGTTACAATTCATTCTCGCAGATCGACAGTATGATGACCTTCACGACCTCATGTTGCTTCCACTCGAGGACGGTACCTTTAGATCATTTGACGCTGAACAGCCTGTGTACCGTTGTACGGCAAGTGAGATGAAGATGTTTCCTGGGACTGAAAGGAACTTCATCAAATCAGACTTACCGCAACAAATAGCTGATCATCTGAAAGAAATCCAGAAAGCAGGTACGTTATTGATTCACTCTGTTTAGTACTGATGTTGTTTGGAAATTTGATTTGAGAATTTCCAAAAAACGGCTCATGCTTGTATATTCCTTCAGCACGTGAACATTTTTGACTCTTTGAAAGCATGCTTAATAATTTGCTCTTCTAAAGTTAAAATCACGTTAAAACCCCGTTTCGATTTAGTGTTCATGTAACAGGATTATACTAAATTAAACAAGTTATGATCAATATTAAAAGAAACATTCATCTGAAAAATATGTAAAAAACCTAGATATCTATTGTATGTACTTTTACAAATATATAACAAATAACAATTTGAGGTTTCTGTCGCTTCTTACCAAGCCATATTTTTTCTTTTTTGACACTTTCTTTATAACTAAAATTGGCAATGCGACGCCGTTTTAAATTGTTACACGTTGGTTATGGCACTTTCTTTCAAATCCATCAGACCTTTTTATACTTTTATAGTAATTGAATCAGCGCAAACTGGTGAAAAATTAACATGATTTTGATTTAAAAATAAGCCGTAGGGCTAACCATAACTGCTTTTCTGAGATCAGAATGTAGTTTTTAGCATTTTTACTTGCGTAATTCAGAAGAAAATACCATATTTATCAATTATGCAAACAATCATATATTTGTAATGTCACCCTGTTATAACTAATACACGTACCCGTATACATTGTATATAACACTGAGCTACATTACCAGCACACTTGGAGGATATCGTATGAATTTGTTCTTGCAACCAAACTGATTTATTTCACCAAAATCACATACTTCATTATATTTATATTGCAGTTTTTGCAGTGTTTGGTTTTTATCAACCTTTTTAGAATAAAATGTGAGGAAGTTGTTGTTTCCATCTCTATGTAGGTTTCTGCAACCTGAGGACTCTGGACGCAGACGGATTTCCTACCTTACTTAACGAGACATTGACTGCAAATGGAAATATTGGAGCCAACGGATGCTTTAGTTCTACCACCCGCCACATTACAATGAAATGGCTCGACCACGTCTGGAGCTATATCGGTCAGAAAAATCATCAAGTCCAGGAAACTTTTGAAAAGTTGAATTTGGTTCCTGTAGAGGGTAACTGTATTTCAGGTGAAGGATTGAAACTCATGCCATTAAAGGGGTTGTATTTGGTGACAGATTTCGATGGAATGGCTTCGCTTGATCAAAACCTGTGTAACGCTTTAGAAAGGCTACCAATTACTGTCATCAGACATATTGCCAAAGGTGAAACACATACCTATCTAATGGGTACCTATTGCAAGTATCCAAATCTCGAAGGACTGCTTGAACTTTTAGAAAGTCTGTGTAAAGTCTGTATAAGACGAGAGTTACTCGAGGAAAAGACACGACGGTTCAATGACCAATGCAATTCCGAAGAAAAAACAGCTTTGCTGAACTTTCTTGCAAAAGACTGTCAACATTCTAATTCAAATGCTGATAGATTTATCAGAGAATTGGCTATATTTCCAGAAACAACAAACGAAAACACCGTTTTAGAGTATACATCTGTAGCAAAGAACGGACACATAGCGTGTGAAAACAGCATCCCAGTTAAATATCATTTACCTCACTTGCACTTGGATAACATACAGAGGATGCTTGCTGAACGACTAGGAGCAAAGGAAATTTCAGAGACGAAGCTAGTTGAAAATATCCTTCAAGCCATGACCAACACTCCTGGCATCTATGAAAGATCAAGCATTGAAACTTTCATGATGTATGTACTGAGGTACTGTACAAGGCTGTCCTCAAGTGAAGATTTGAATGATATCATCTTTTTAGGTTCGGGGATCAAATTCATTGCAACTTCGTCTTCATCGAGCACAACAGAGCTAGCACCGATCCGGGCATTCTTTGATCATACTAATCAAGTACTTAAGGAGTTGTTTCGTTTTGACGACAGCAAGTTTCTCATTAAAAAATATCAGAAGGAGGAATTAGAGTCTGTACTTAGAAACTTTGGTCTCAAATCCGATAAGGACGTTAAAGAAGACGATGTTTTAAATGTGGTACGAGTACTTGATCGAGAGTGCCGAAAAGGGAAACAGGCGCAAATGGAGGAAATTCGTCATTGTTCATTTAAAGTAATGGAAATACTGGAGAGGATGGAAAGGGAATCCACTGTAAATTTGGATTTAAGGGAATATCGATGGATATCTTTCATCGACGAGAAACCAGTTCATTATCCGGATATACTACCTTGGTGTGCGGATCATTGCCAGTCTCCTCTATGTACCCCGCAAGATGTATCCTCGAGTAAACACGAGACGCAGGCGGCATCTGTTAAATGTATCGTGGACACCTCTAGCTGTCCTTGCCTTGCAAACAAATACGGATGGAATAAACCTCCAGATGCTGACACATGTCTTCTTCAATTGGAAGCGGTGAGAAACGTCTTCTGTATTAAACACAAAGCCAAGTTGAATGGTATTTTAAAAGACATATACCAACAACTGTTTGATGATATCAATTCATTGGATCATGAACTGGAATCACAGCCGATCATTTGTACAGGAGCGACTTTTCATCTTCCTAGAGATGTGTTTATATCTTTTCCCTTGGACGAGAACATCCATCTGGAGCCTTATATGTACAAACTTCCTGTTGAATTTGAGGAGTTCTCTAAAATGTTTGTTGAACTAGGGTCAGTTCAAGAACTTGAAATAAATTCATTGAAGTTAATCCTTACAACAATTAGGACATCAACTAGGCCGTCAACGACCGAGAAAGATAGACAGATGGTTGTTAAAATTCTTAAAATAATATCAAATCTACGAGATGCAAATGATATTCTGAGTGATGTATTAGTACCTGTCCAATCACAGAATGCCAATCTGGTATTACAGCCGGTAAAAGATTGTACGTACTCCGACGAGGATTCAGGCTGGTTACAAAATGAAGAGGATGATGACGTCAATTATGTCCATTCCGATGTTGGTGCTAAATTAGCGGAATCGCTGGGCGTTCAGTCTTTCACTCAGAGATTTTTATCAGACGGTGGAACAGAAGAAATGACTGTAGCATGTGGACAGTCTGAACCTCTGACGACAAGACTTAAACATTTGTTGGAAAACTACCCAGATGGATTAGCAGTGCTGAAGGAACTTGTTCAGAACGCAGACGATGCAGGAGCTAAATATATTCATTTCCTAAATGACGAAAGACAGAATAAAGAGGCGACAGTAGGCTTAATCGACGTTAACATGGCAAAATGCCAGGGTCCAGCGTTTTGGGCTTTCAACGATGCTGTTTTTACCGAACATGACTTTGAAAACATTGTCCAACTTGGAGGGGAAACCAAAAAAGCAACGAGAACCAAAATTGGAAAATTCGGGCTTGGATTTTGCGCCGTTTACAATATAACAGATGTTCCCAGTTTTGTAAGTGGAAATTCTCTGGTAATCTTTGATCCTCATACTACTCATCTAGGGAAAGCCATCAAGAACAAAAGCAGCCCAGGAATTCGGTTGACCATTACAGAAAAAAGTTCTGGTATGCTAAAGCGAATGAGGAACCAGTTCATGCCATACAGCAACATATTTGGATGTGATTTGTCTGGAGACACTAAACCTCTCAAGTTTGAAGGAACGCTTTTTCGATTTCCATTAAGAACAAAGCAACAGGCAATAGACGGTGAAATAAGAAGTACTCCTTATCGCAAAGATGACATGGTACAACTTCTCCATCTTCTTAAAAACTGTGCAGGGGATTTGTTGACATTTACACAGAACTTAAAGGATATCAAAGTATCTCATCTGCAAGAGGACAGCGTTAACCTACCGAATGATATTCAGCTCATGTTTAGCGTTGAAAAAAAAAAGATTAAAATGCATCATATGTTGAACAACCCAGCAAACATCAATGTCATGACGGAAGCCGAAAATGTTTTGAGAACAAAACAACCATTTACAAAAACTGAAATGATATCACTTAATATGTATACTTTAAAAAATGAACTCCTGAAAGTCGAGGAAACCTGCTTAACGTCTTCTCCCTGGTTAGTGTCTTGGGCTTCAGGAACCAATCAGGATGTTCTGGAAAAAGCGATCCAGCTGCAAAATGATGGGGCCTTACCACTTGGTAGTGTTGCAGTTTCTTTAAAAAGTATAAAATCACCATTGGTCCCAGTGCCATTCCCGCATAAAGAAAAGCTGCGTGGATTATACGACAAGAGTCACATTTTCTGTTTCCTTCCTTTGCCCGTCGAATGCAAACTTCCAGTGCATATAAATGGATGTTTTGCTGTCAGCAGTGATCGGAAAGGCTTAGTTAAGAGCACAAGTGACGAAAAAAGCGAAACAGAGAATCAAGTCTGGAATAGAATGCTTATGTCTGATGCAGTATGCAAAGCGAGCCTATGTTTATTGACAAGTCTGGAGCATTTCGAAATGTCTTCAGACGAAATTTATTCAACACTTTGGCCTTTTACTGTGGGTCAGTCAGATGAAACATCTTGTTTGTCAGATGCGTTTTGTAAAGCCGTTGTTCATGGAGGTTACCGCGTGTTTTATACGCCACAAGGACGTCGCGCTTCATTTAGTGAATCCGTTTTTCTTGACATTACATTACGTCATGACAACGTTGTTGGGGAATATGCTTTCGATACTTTTACAAATTTGTATAAAGATGAAAGAGTTCCTATGGATATGCCTCAAGCGTTACATCATCAATTTTGTACAGCAGATTGTGAAGAGGAGCTAGTGCAACAAACAATGACCATGAGAGAATTTTATGAGGACATTGTCTTCCCTCACATTCAGCAAATCGATGCAGAAAAACGAGATGCACTGGTGATGCACATATTGAACATCGATGACCATTCTCTGCAAAATTTACTGAAATCAAATCCATGTATTCCTGTTCTACCTAATGGTAGATTGAGACTACCGAAGGACCTCGTACGGCCACGGTCAGAAGTATCGGAACTTTTCTGTGACGAAGACAGTCGATTTCCTAACGACGCCAACCAGTCCTTTTGTAGCGAGATAAACCTGAATATCCTTGTGCAATTGGGTATGATGGATAGAACGTTGCCGGACGAGCTTGTTGTGGAGAGAGCCCAATCTATTTCCAAATTGCTTAAGATTAAACCGGCGTTTGATCGTTGTCGACGGTTGCTAGCCTACCTTGAACGAGAAGAAGATAATTGTCGAAATGATGTCATACATGATTTAAGTACAACAGCCTTCTTACCTATACTTCAGAAGCCTGGCGATTGGCCTGTGACCTGGTTTTCAAATGCAGACGAAATTGGGATGTTTTCTTCCCCGAATCAAATGTTCTTTCCAGAGCACATGGAACGAATTGCGTGCTCACATTTGATAGTTAATGTTGAAGAACTGAAAAATGAGTTTGATGTTCTGATGATTCTTAAACGACTAGGTGTGCAACATGAGGAGCTACATGACGACGTTGAGAAACAACTTTTTGCCATTGGTAAAGTCGATGAACACCTATCTGACAAGCAGAAACTACGATTGCGTGACATATGCATTTCTGTATACGGGTACTTGAACAGCTCATCAGAAAACCTGACTGGAACTTACGATGACCTTCCCATACTGTGGATGTCTGATCGATTGATTCCTCCAAAGCGTGCCACTCTTGAGACGTTTTCTAGAATCGACTGCACACCTGAAATATATCAAGTCGTTTTACCTGATGTTACAAGATACGGAACATTTCTTAAACGCGTTGGTGTCCAAGAATTTCTTTGCAAAGAAAATGTTATTTTAGCGCTGGAACGGGTGGAAATTGACCACGATAAACCTCTAGATGTGGAGAAAGTTATACTGATAGTAAATCTATTAGAGCTTCTAGCTGAAGTATGTAGCCGACGTGGACTTCCTTTACAATCTGACGAAAAAGCTCGCATCCTTGTTCCAGATGATATAAACATTTTGCGATCATTCGACGAAGTATGTGTAGATGATGGGTTCCCCATGCGGAGACAAAAATACATGTATTTTGTCAACTCAAAAGTATCGGGAGAAATCAACAAGCTACTTGACATAAAGTCAAAGCGAGTTAAGCACCTAAATACTATCAAAGGCAGTTTGCCATTCGAACTAGTGACGAGGCTGAAAGGAATCCTCGATGAATATTCTCGGGATGAAACAATTTTATACGAACTGTTGCAGAATGCAGATGACGCAGGGGCGACAGAAATCATGTTCATTGATGACAAGAGGCAACATAAAACTAAGGAAGGCATATTTGGTGATAGTTGGTCTGACATTCAAGGACCGGCGTTATGTGTTTTCAATGACTCATGTTTTTCTGCTGCAGATCTAGAAGGCATTTGCAGGCTTGGTAAAGGAACGAAATCACAAGACCCAACAAAAACTGGGCAGTTTGGTATTGGCTTCAATGCGGTTTATCACTTGACAGACGCACCTTCTTTTATAACAAGAGGTCCATCTACACCAAATCAAGGAACATTTTGTGTCTTTGACCCGCATTGTACATTCTGTCCAGCTGCTGATGATTTGAATCCAGGACTACAACTTCCTGATTTGACGGGACTCGAGGAGACATACCCAGGTGTATATGAATGCTATTTACAGGCGGAGTTACCTAGGGTACAGGGTACTTGGTTTCGATTTCCATTACGAACCTCGAAAATGGCAGAAATGTCTCATGTATGTAAAAGAACAATGGGAAAAGAATCACTACGAAGATTACTCTGCCGATTCCAACAAAATATGAAAAAGTGTCTTTTGTTTCTGAGAAATGTCAGACAAATTTCATTATGTGAAATAGATCACCAAGGTAAAATAAAAGAAAATCATAGAGTAGTGTCAACGCTGAAAGAAAACGATGAGCATCACCTGAAGAGGTTTTTCAACAAATGTGACACATTAACAAAAAAATTGTTTGCTGAATCAACGAATCTGCTTGAAATCCCCAAACAAACAATTCAATACATCATGACCATAGAAGAAGATTTATGTCATCCTGAACGTTGGATTATAGCTCAGACGTTTGGATTAGACGCCGATACGAAGGTCCCAGACAGTGTAAAAGAAGCTTTGGAATGCAGGGAAATAAATCTCACGCCAAAAGGTGCAGTAGCTCTACCGTGCACACCAGGGGGTATGGACAGTAAATATGAATGTGCGCAACAAGAAATGTCCAAACATTACGGCGATACTTCCATCTTATATAATCGTGATGGTATAAACCAACCAACTATTCCTGACCGATTCGCTTCTTCTTCGTCATCCATTGAGATGTTATGCGACAGCAAGGACTCGGATTCTAAAGGTCAAGTTTTCTGCTTTCTTCCTCTCCCTTTGGAAACTGGACTTCCCGTACACATAAATGGTCATTTTGCTCTTCATCAAACACGTGGAGCAATGTGGGATACTGAATCACCTAGAGGTAACTGGAACAGTTTGCTATTAGAAACAATTATATCAAACAGCTATGTCTTAGCTATCGAATACCTACGTGATACATTCCCCAGTAATACTGTGGGCGGACAAATTGCGAACATCAAAGACATCAAAACTTTCTTGAAAATGTATCACGACTCCTTTCCGCGATACAATCAAGGGAAGTCTGATCTGATAAAAAGCATGGTTTCATCGTTCTTTGCTAAACTGTATGATAGTGAGTCTACCGTTTTCCCGGTTCTTTCACCGATAGAAAAGTCAATATGTTGGGTCGGTCTCAAACAAAAAAAACATGCATTTCCTGCCTTTTTCGATAATCTACCAGATGAGTTTCGGGCTGAGGCAGAAATGGGCATATTAAAAGAAAGACAAAACGGACTCGAAATAAATCACAAAAAAGAAAGCAAGCGCCGACACCAAGCTAAAAATGATGCCCACCAACTCTCATACATCCTAAAAAATATTGGCGTGAAGATTCTTGAATCGCCACTCTGGATCAATGAGAGTATGAAAGAGGCATTTCAGAACCTGCCAACGTTGCGCATTCAATGTGCTATGACCCGAAATGTTTTTGAGGAAGACTTGCCCATGCTCGATCATACTTTTGTCCTTCGTTTCTTAAGAACGGTAGATAAAAATACACCAGATGTTTGCCTGATAAAAGATGTAAATCGATACCTTACGGACACAAAAATCAAAAACATGGAAAACATACTCTGTCTGCTACTGTATTGCCTCAAAGATAAGCAAATCTTCATCCAAAACATGGAACAATTACCCTTACTGGTAACTAATGACGGCATGCTAAGGCGTTTTTCCTCAACAAGCCATGTGTTTATATCTCAATTTTGTGACCTATTGCCAACATCGGCAAATGAGTTCGTACACAGGGAGATGGTCAACTTACTACAGGACATCCAACCGGTTAGTCAATTATTGGAACGTTTAGACTTAAAGAGTTTTGCAAGAATGTTACCAGACAATGTGGATATGGCTCCACTGTCAGAGGAGGAACCGATTCCATGGGATCAGAACGTTTTAAGTTTGAAATGGATGAAGGAGTTCTGGCGATATTTGGACACGTTGCAGCAGATAGACGTCCGGAAGTTGGGTAATTGGTGTCTCATTCCAGGAGAGAGGAAACGTACCGGACAACCTGGAATTTTAGTTCCCTGCAACAAAGATTTTGTTCTCATGTACGTCAATTCGTTTGAAGAAGAACCCCTACGTACAGTGCTTGCCTCGTTACAAATGCCAACACCACACTCATGTATCTGTTCCAAATCATTGAGAAGTGTTGTAGCCTCACAAAATGATCCAGTGCGTTTCGTTCAATGCCTTCATTATCATAAGAATAAGTTAAAATGTCTCTATCCGCTTCAATGCACTGAGGTGTTGCAATACTTGTCGAAAAACATTAAAAAACTGCATACATCAGTGGTTTGCAAATTAAAAAAACTCCCTTTGTTCATAACTGTCTATGCAACATGTGTCCAACTTCATGAGAACGTGGACATTTACATTGTCGAAATCGACAGCGATTTCCCAACAGACGGACTCGAAGTTTTTTCAAACAACTGCAAAATTGCTCTGTTGAAACGCAATTTTTACACATCGGAATTGATGGAATTTTTGGCCTGCAATCGTACTATTTCAATCACTGAGTTATACTGCAAGCTCATTCTGCCAAACTTCCGCTATATCGGTCAAGTACATCATTTGCGTCATTTGAAATATGTACGAAGCATTCTTAAAGATGACCCTATATGTCCAATGAAATCTGCTTTGCAGTTAGCTGAATTCATTTTCCATGAAGGATTATTTAAACGAGCAAATCACTTCTACAGTCCCCACAACAGATTATGTAAGAAACTCTGCGATCAGTCAATGCTGCCGCCTGATCCGTTTGGAGATTTGGAGTGGGAGAATTTCATGGTACACGCTGGTATGAATGAAACTGTTACCGCTGACTTATACTGCAAATTTGCTAGACAAATAGAGCAATCTGTATTGAGGGCTGGAATGACTGAGGAAATCATAGAGCAGTCTAAAGAGATGGTCACGTTTTTGATCCAAACAGATGAGCTTTTAAATAATGAAAAGCTTTTGGAAAGGATAAGGAATGTTAAGTTTGTGGAACCCTATCGTGTCAAACAAACATTTAAAGAAATTTATCCGCAATTCGTATGTGATACTTTGATATCATTTTGTGGATCCGCACCTCGCTCTTTTGCCCCAGTCTTGTGGACAACGATATCGATCCTACCTGATTATGTTCATCCTCATAAACAACAGATCCAGGAAAGTTTGGGAATATTTCGTACTCCACCCTTGCGTGATGTGTTATCTCATACCCACAATGTTTGCGATGCACTCAACAAGAAATTATACGAAACAAATTCAAATCAAAGAGGTAATTACCTTTCTGAATCAAATATAACAGAACTGATGAGAGTGATATACACATATTTACAAAACAACTGCATTGATACTTCTGAAACCAAACAAATGCTTTCGGAAACACCGCTCGTACATTTGAAGGAAATGGGAATATTTGTCACCGCAAGACAAGTATCTATCACATTTTGCGGAAAGAAACAGATACCGCCATATCTGGTTGAGATTCCTCTGCATTATGGACCTTACAAAGAACTATTTAAAGCCGTTGGAACAACAGAATCCGTTACACTAGGTCAGTACTCCGATGTACTATACCGTATTCAGGCCGAATTAAAATCAGCGATCCTGGGACCTGAGCGGATACAGGATGTCGTATCTGCTCTGACAGGATATATGATGCTGTTAGAGGAAGCAAGCATGTCCAGTATTGAAGAGTCGATGGCCTCAGTTGAGACTTTGTATTTACCTGCCTCGGACAAAAGGTTAGCAAAATCAACTGACTTAGTATATGCTGATAAACAAAAGCTGAAAAAAAGAGTAACCCAAGGAAGTGATCATCGGATAGTGTTCATGCACAGTTTAAAGGACTGTCACAAAAATGAAGACCTCATCTTGAAACTACCGGAGAGATTAAAACCAAAAGTATTGAGCTCCATCATACAGGAGCATCTCATATCCGTTTCTAATAATGAACCGGATACAAAGGTAGATGAATTGCGAGCATTTCTAGCGTCTCCGAGATTTTTGAACGCACTTAAACAGATCAGCAAATTCGAGGACTTCGACTGCTATAGACAACGGTTGTTGAGCATCTGTTTTGTTTCTCCGTCTGAAATTAAAACGATCTTGCAAGTGGATGGTAAACCTATTCGAGGTACAGTAGGTACTCAGGTGTGTTTTTACTCTGAGGGCGAACAAAAATGCTATATTGCAGCAAGTACCCATCAAGTTCGAAACTGGCTGAAGAAAATTGGTCAGCAACTCTGTGGAATGCTTTCGGATTGTTTTGAAAAACGAATTTCACCGGAGAAATTTCGAGAGCTGATTGATTTCGTTGACGACCCGACAGGATTTAAATCCTATTGTGAAGATTTTTTAGACGAGGAAGAAAACGATGACGACTCATTGTCATATCATCCGGGCCAAATAGTACCTGTTGGCCTGCATGCTTTACTACAGAATGACATCACTCTTCTAAAGGTTGGAGATGTAGTTGCCTATGAAATGTTTGACCCAGCTATCGATGGCGACAACGATGATGTGATATCTCAGGACGCAGTGTCTGATGCCGTTTATGTTTTTGTGAGAATCGTGCAGGAACAACCACTAGCTGGTCAACATTCGTTACATCAGAAATACAAAGTGAATTTCGGTCAGGACAACGAAAAGATAGTTTCGGGACTGCTTTTATACAAGGTCATTTATCCGGGATCATCCGAAACAACCGAATTAGTACTTCATCTATTTGGAAACCATGGATCTATACCTAGTAATAAAGACGGCATATTTGACCAAATTATTTTCACTTTGTTGGAATCTTGGAAATTAGATAATAAAGATCGGAAACGGGTCGTTAAAAGATTGCTTTTGGTGTGGCATCCTGACAAAAACCGCAATAGAGGTGAGGAATATGAAAAATTTTGCAACGAAATTATTAAATTTATTTTTGATATCATCAGACGTCTTGACAAAGGTGAACGTTTTGACAATTAGTCTTCCGATGAATCGGACGGAGACAACTTTCATAACTGGCATTATGAATCGGACGGAGGCAACAGAAGACGCAGAAGGAAATGGAACTACGATAACTGGCAATATGGCGGCGGTTGTTCCAATTCTTGGCAGAACTTTAGGAACCGGATGTCATCGAGGCTTACTAAAAACCAGAGCAACTTCAGGCATTTCTATGCACAAAGGCAGGATTATGTTCTTGATCCGCAACCTACAGAGGCACGGAGGTGGTTTCGGCAAGCCAGTATGGATTACTCAAGTGGAGTGAGCTCTTTAGAAGCTAGCAATTCCACAGATAGTGATAATAAGACCAAAGAAGACTTTAACTGGATTTGCTTCAAATTCCATCAAGTAAGATGAAATTTTCATTATTTTACCACTTCTCTGTAGTCTGTTTGATACAAATGTGAATGAAATCTGGTGTTTATCTTAATAAAAAATCTGTTCTTGAAACATTCTAAAGAAGGTGATTATTTAGACGATAATAAGTCTGTCTTTCTATTGTACTCGTATATATGTCATGATGTCTGAAAATATTTTTATGAAAATACATTGCAAAAAGATTGAAATAAAAGTAAATGTGTGTGTCGGGATACAAATAGAGATTCTCGTCGGCAGTTACTCAAAAATGCGTTACCCAGACGTGATGGAGTACCCTAATATAACAGGAACCATGTACACAAAAGATCAGGCTAATAAACTCATGAAATTAGCTGAAAAAGTGATGGAAGGGATAGAAAACCGATTATAGACACTCCAATATCCCTACTGAATAAATCATGTGTAAAATCGCGTTCAGTTTGGCAAGTTCTCATAATTAAACTTTGCAATTTGTGAGTGAAATCAATGGAAGAACGCCGTATAAGAATAAGAAATCACTGTTATCAAGATTTTGCATTTTTTTTATACTTAACCTGAAGTTAGTAACATATTTGTTGGCATAACGCTTAATACGTAGATACCATTTGCCTTAAGTAGCATGAACAGTTATGCCATTCTGCAATACGAACAAATGATGCAATCGCTTTATAGTTTACAATGTAAATAATACAAATAACTTATCTGTATATCATGTCACTATTATAGTGTAGATAGTTTCATTTATTAAACTAGTGGTCAAAGTATACCCTTGTCACAATAAGGACATTACATAATGGTTACATATAAATCTGAACTTTAAATGTTCTAGAGAGAGTTATCGTGTATAATTGTGTCTATGGTTTTCTATATCCGTTTACATATTATGAAAAAAACTTGTTTATTTTCTAACCACTATTTGTTATTTTATAAGTCTGGTCTATAATGTCAGTAATATCAGAATACTCTTTAGTTAACTGCACTGATATATGATAAATGTATAATTTGTTGAGAAAACATGTTTTAAGAATCATCTATCATTGTATTATAAACTTTGTAGTTTGGCCTCACATTAACTAAATACTACATATAGAATTATTTCTTTAATGAAACGTGTTTCCGGAATAATTGTAGATAAAATATAACAATGGATTTTTCTTCATTCCATTAAATGTTATTGCTTAACAATGTTTGATAAAGTGTAAATACTTACAGATTCACAAGTACATTTGACTTTTACATGTTCATTATCTAACGATTTTTTTGCCAGATACTAATCATTTTCATAATTTGCGTATTTAGCGCCGATTATCTGTACAAAATGATTTTATTTCTTTAAGTAATTATATTTTGTTATTTTTTTCTGTGTAATATATGATTTAATAGTTTAAATAAGTGTTTTTTTCTGCTGTGCCAAATACCATTTTGTGATTTTCACATTTATCCGACCAATCAGAATGCGTAGTTTTCAATGGGCAATGTCAATTACGACGTGAAAATAGCCATGTTACCACCGTCACCCCGTTATATAGTAATCCCTGTTATCACATGATCATATTTGCCTGGAATTGACACTCTGTTCACGATAACCCATGTCTTTGCAAAAAATGTGTTGGTGTCTCAATGAATGCCAGTTATATTATAATTGTGGAATGGATATTTTACTTATTTTTGCACTCGTTCTATGCCCTCGAATAAAATATCAAACTATGCCCTCCACTAGTCAAGCATTACTGTTTTTCGTTATGAATGTTTAATGAATGTGATGCCTTATATAAATGGACACAAGATTGACAATAGATATGCATGCACTTGTTTTATAAATGACATTTTGTATTGTCCCTTTCAAGGAATCTTAGTTTTCAAGCGGAAATTACCATGTGTTGAACTGATATGTATAGTCTTCATTTACGGTGCTGGAAATTTACCGTTGACGAATCGTTAAAGTGCTTTGAATTAGCAACATCATGTTTGCTTCTGTATGTTTGTGCTCTGATTTTGAAAATAGAAGTGGAAAATTCCTCAACTTGAAAAGTTTCCTTTCTAGTTTTGAATGCATACATTTTTTATCTATTGTACAGTTTATGTTTTCATTTTGTATCTAGTTTGCTTTTTATGTTTTCACAAATTCTAATGATGATACTGTTAACCTAGTAGATTTAAGTCTATATTTTGTATATATCTCAAAAATAATTAGTGATGCAATTATCCTTATTTAACTTTTATATATGCAGTAATTACGTGTCAAATTGATGTAAATCATTTTAAAAAACACGTCTTCAACATTGTGATATAATTGTAAAATTCTGATGTTTTATTATCTTTTTAATACTGGCTGTAATCGTTGAAAACCCACTAGAGCTTAGCGATAAGGTAACAGTTATCTTCCCATTTATATTCTGTTGTAAATTGATCATGTGAATATTATTAATTTGTAAACTACTAGAAGTCAAAGCATATGCTTATCCAAACACACTATGTAACAAAAACTGCTTTATGTTCATGATGGAAAGCTGATCAGGACGACAGTGTCAGATGTTGTGGATACAGTAATCTGTATCATGTTGTAAATATACAATTTGAATTCTTTTAAATTCATTATATTATATAGTTCATTATTTTATATATATATTTTCAATTCCCTATAACAATTCGTATACTAATTCATATATGGGTAGCCTATGTTAGGAAATATATTCGTATGCAATACTGTGAAATCTGAATTTAAAATTGAAAGAATTTGATCTGTGTTTAAAATAATTGAATGTTTTTAATAATATAAATATATTTCTGTATATATAGAAATAGCATTAACTGTTAAAACTGTTTTATATTTACTGTTTCTTTATACTGTACATATATTTCGTACATAGTATTTCTCTATAGATACACTTTGTATAAGAAATATCTGTACATCCATATTTTGTATCTGAGTACTTTAGACAATGATCTATCATCATTCTGACCTTTAGTATCACTGATAAGCCTTTAATGGGCAACATGGTCGTATGGTGCAGTGTTAATGGGCGACATGGTCGTATGGTGCAGTGTAATGTGGGCGACATGGTCGTATGGTGCAGTGAAACGTGTTATTTGTTTGACTTTCTGCATATGTAAAAGAAAATTGTCTAATACGTGTTTTTTTCTTCATATTTCTAGTGATCAAAGTATACATTGTTTTATATTGTTTCTGTATGCAGAGAGTTTGTACATTCTGTTTCTGTGTACATATATAGTTTTTATGTACTGCTTTAGAATATATATATTTATTTTTGGACATATTACACTATTTCTGTATGAATTTATTTCTTTACACTTTTTTGTACAAAATATCTTCCAACACATAGGTTTTGATTGTTTGACATGTGCATCTTTGTAGATGTTATACACACACAAATGGTCATGCACATACACGCAAACCTAGAAAGTGTAAAGTCTATATTATATATATAGGTATGTGTGTTTACCCTGAATATTTGCTTTATTACGGTATGAAAATACTTTTTATTATAAAACAAAAGGCTTAAAAAGGTGCAGTTACTGATGAAATATTCTTGTTTAACATTTAATTATGGTAACATGTCAGATTTATTTAAGTCTTTGTTCACACATGAAAGTTTTATAGAATGATACTTTGTCTATTTTATCAAGTTTGTAAATAAATTAAGAATCTTAAGTAGATGCATTTCGAAACACATTGTTTGATTATCGTTAGATTGATTTTTGATAGATCATATTGGAAATTTGATCATACCAAACATATTTCAGCTTGATGTAAACATTGTACTGATCAATATGAATCATGAGTCAAATGTAATACTACAGTTTCATGTAAATTTTATTATTCCTAAAGCAAATGTCGAAATACATGTGTGTTTTATTAAACAGATATAAGATATTAGATTGCAATATACATAATATGACATATTTGGCTAGTTTGAATTAATTTGATGTCAGAAATAATTTGATTTATTACCTTATATGCTTTACAAACATAACTATGCTATTATATGTACTATAATTATGTAGTAAACGTTCATGTTTTGATCTAAATGGATGTGAGAAATGATATTGATTTAGTTAAGTTAAATATCTTATTTAGTAATAACATCAAGTTATAAATGTAATACTGCTAAAATGACTTATTAAAGGTATGATACTTGGAGCATATGAACTAAATGGATGTTAGAAATGATATTGATTTAGTTTGATTTATAACCTTGTATACATACAAAATCGAGTTATATATAATTATTTTCATTTTGATAACTTTTAATAACATCAATACCGAGTGTAATAATATTATTTTAACGTTTTATTAATGGTATGATACTTGGAGCATATGAACTAAATGGATGTTAGAAATGATATTGATTTAGTTTGATTTGTAACCTTGTATACATGAAATATCGAGTTATATATAACTTTTTTGATTGATAACTTTTTATAACACAAATACCGAGTGTAATAATATTATTTTAACGTTTTGTTAAAAGTATGATACTTTGAACATATGAACTAAATGGATGTTAGAAATAATATTGATTTAGTTTGATTTATAACCTTGTATACATAAAATATCGAGTTATACATAATGATTTTGATTGATAACTTTTCACTACATATTTACTGGGTGTTATAATATTATTTAACTATTTTATTAAAGGTATGATACTTGGAGCATTTAAACTAAATGGATGTTAGAAATGATATTGATTTAGTTGGTTTTATAACCTTGTATACATGAAATATCGAGTTATATATAATGATTTTGATTGATAACTTTTCACTACATATTTACTGGGTGCTATAATATTATTTTACCATTTTATTAAAGGTATGATACTTGGAGCATATGAACTAAATGGATGTTAGAAATGATATTGATTTAGTTTATTTTACAACCTTGTATACATGAAATATCGAGTTATATATAATGATTTTGATTGATAACTTTTCACTACATATTTACTGGGTGTTATAATATTATTTTACCATTTTATTAAAGGTATGATACTTGGAGCATATGAACTAAATGGATGTTAGAAATGATATTGATTTAGTTGGTTTTATAACCTTGTATACATGAAATATCGAGTTATATATAATTATTTTGATTGATAACTTTTCATTACATAAATACCGAGTGTCGTAATATTATTTTATTAATGGTATGCTACTTGGAGCATTTAAACTAAATGGATGTTAGAAATGATATTGATTTAGTTTATTTTATAACCTTGTATACATGAAATATCGAGTTATATATAATGATTTTGATTGATAACTTTTCACTACATATTTACTGGGTGTTATAATATCATTTTACCATTTTATTAAAGTTATGATACTTGGAGCATA